TCGATACTATAATATCATCCGCATACACCATTATTTGCGTTTGTTTATATGCTACTGTGTTCCTTATGTCTACATTACATTTCCTCACTATATATTCCAATACCAAATTAAATAGTGATGATGCCAAACTATCTCCCTGTTTTAATCCTTGATTTGTCTTAAAGCATTCTGTTAACTGATTCTGGATTTTAACTCGATTGATTGTTTCTGTCATGGTTAAGTTAATATTCTATTTAATTTTGTTGGAATACCAAAAGTGGACATAATCATCCTTAATTTCTTCCTTATTATTGTATCATATGCTTGTTTAAAGTCTGTGAAGCATAGATAAATATCTGTATTAAATTCCCAGCATTTCTCCATTATTTGTTTCAGGGTGAATAAATTGTCTGTTGTTGACCTATTGGGTCAAAATCCTGTTTGATATTCTCCTATTATTTTTTCTATATATGGATCCAGTCTCTTTTTTAGTATCCTTGTTAAAATTTTATATGCTGTCGGTAGTAATGATATACCTCTATAGTTACTACATGTTAATTTATCCCCTTTTTTAAATATGGGACATACAATGCTCTTTCTCCAATCTTCTGGTATCTTTTCTTCTTCGCACACTTTGTTTATAATTTGTGGAATACTATTATTCCTTCTTTTCCTCCTGCATTCAGTAATTTTGCTTGTATGTTATCTCCTCCTGGTGCTTTATTTAGTTTTTGTTCCTCTAATGCTTCTTCCACTTCTTCCTTTGTTGGGGGCTCTATTATCTCTTCGTCTTCCCCTTCTCCATCATCTGTATTTTCTTCTTCATTGTCCTCCTTATCTTCCATATTCTGATTTTGATTTAATAATTGTTCAAAATATTCTTTCCATGTATTCATAATCTGTTTTATTATTTATTAGAAACCCTTTTTTGTCTCGGATAAATTCTGTTTTTGGTTTGAAACCTTCTTTCATATATTTGATTCGACCAAAGGCATTTTTTGTTTTGTTATTTTTTAAGTCTTCTTCCACTTGCAGTAATTGCTGATTTAGAAAGGCCCGTTTCTTTTTCCTGCAAATCTTGTCTGCTTTCCCTCTTGCTTCTTTATATGCGTCATTTCTTTCTCTTGTTGGTCTTTCCATATATTCCATATATTTCTTATTCTTGAGGTTTATACTCCCCCTACATTCCTCATTGAACCATTCTCTATTATCCTGTTTCTCTTGATATCCCAAAGTCCTCTCAGCTTCTGTAGTTATTTGGGTTTTAAAATCTACCCATATTCCTTCTACCATTACTTCTTTATTTGCTCTATTGTCATTAATTTCTTTAATTTTATTTTGAAGTGCTTCTCTCTTATCACTCTCCATAATCTTGTCAATATTAAATTTCTTACATTTCTCATACTGCTTGGATCTTTGACAACTTATTTTGCATCTATATTTAACCTGTACTAAGTAATGATCACTATCACAGTTGGCCCCTCTTAATGTTCTTACGTCCAGGATATTCGTCGCAAATCGCTTCCCTATGAGGACATGATCTATTTGATTGAAGGTTACGCCAACTGTTGCTGCACATGTTCTTGTATGAATATTATTGTGCAGAAAGTATGTAGAGCTGATGATCAAGTTCTTACTTTCTGCAAAATCTATTAATTTTATTCCATTATGGTTGGTTGTATCATGTAAACTTTCTGTCCCAATTACTCCTCTGTATTCCTTCTCTTTACCTATTTTGGCATTAAGATCTCATAAAATAATCTTTATGTCATTACTTGGTATTGAATCATATGTCTCTTCCATTTGGTGATAGAAATAGTCTTTGACATCTTCTTTTTCTTCTGTAGGTGCATGCACATTCATTAACGTCATATTGAAAAATTTTGTTCTAATTCTCAAAGTGCAAATTCTTTCACTTATTGGTTTAAGGTCTATTATTGCACTTTTAAATTCTCATTCTATTACAAAGGCTACACCAAATTCCTTATTGCCTTCTGCTTTACCACTGTAACATATAATGTTTCTTTAAGTCCATGATTCCTTTACCCAGCTGTCAAATTTCCTATATGGCTGTGATTTTCATATTCTACTTATCTATCTGTTCTAGTACCAATTTCATGGCACCCGGTTTATTGAGGGTTTTCACATTCTGTGCACCTAGAGAGTAGTCCATATTCTTTGCCAATTATCGTCTTCCATTCTGTTGAGGTTTCCAAGGCTTGATTCCAGGTTTCGAGACATTTGTATCTTTTTACGGTGAGAGGTCATCAGCCCCATGTTAGGTGGGTCCCTGTCACCATGGCATGGCGCGTCCTCAGGTTGCGGATGGAGGAGACACCCTCCAGTTTTGGAGGGAAGCTGCAAATATATTGAATAAGCAGTCGCGAACAGCCAACAAGGGGTAGCCCTCCAGCTTGGGGGTTGGGCGTGGGTCTAACAACTCCTCACCATAAAAAATCATTGTTATGAAAATGAACACGGTCTCGGACCTGGACGGATTCTTTGGATAAACGACCTAAGCTAATGAAAATGGATATGAGATTTGGCACTTGGAATGTACGAGTTTGTATAGGGCAGGTTTGCTCAGGGCAGTGGCAGAAGAAATCTTAAAATATAAGTTAGATTTAGCGGGAGTACAGGAAGTCAGATGGGATGGAGGTGGCATCGCACCAGCAGGAGACTATACATTTTTCTATGGAAAGGGGAAAGAAAATCATGAATTAGGTACAGGTTTTTTCGTACATAAGAGAATCGTATCAGTAGTTAAAATGTTAGAATTCGTTAGTGGTAGGATATCATATATAATACTAAAAGGTCGCTGGTGTGATATCATTGTTTGAATGTTCACACCTCAACAGAAGATAAGATTGATGACATAAAGGATAGATTCTATGAAGAACTAGGACATGTATTTGATAAATTCCCAAAGTACCCTATGAAAATTTTGTTAGGAGATTTGAATGCCAAAGTATGGAGGGAAGACATTTTCAAACCAACAATTGGGAATGAGAGTTTGCATGAAATTAGTAATGATAATGGATTTAGAGTTGTAAACTTTACCACATCAAAAAGTCTTACTGTCGGAAGTACAATGTTCCCACATCGTAACATCCATAAATTTACTTGGTCTTCTCCTGATGGGAAGATACACAATCAAATAGACCATATTTTGATAGATAAGAGATGGCACTCAAGTATTCTTGATGTCCGATCATTCAGGGCAGCAGGTCGTGATACTGACCAGTACCTGGTGGTGGCAGAGGTTAAGGAAAGACTGGCAGTGAGCAAACAAACAACACACAGAGTTCATATGGAGAGGTTCAATCTCAAGAAATTAAATGAGGTAGAGGGTAAAGAGCAGTATTGTGTTGAATTCTCAAATAGGTTCACAGGTTTGGAAAACTTGGAAACTCAGGTGGATGTTAATAAAGCTTGGGAAACTATTAGAGATAATATAAAAATGTCTGCCAAAGAGAGTCTAGGTTATTATGAACTGAAGAAGCATAAGCCATGGTTCGATGAAGGATGCTCAAAATTATTAGATCAAAGAAAGCAGGCCAAATTGCAATGTTTACAAGATCCAAGCGAGTTAAATGGGGATAATCTGAACAATATAAGACGTAAAACCAGCAGGCATTTCAGGTTACAAAAAGAGGAAATATCTGAAAAAAAAAATTAATGAGCTTGCAATGAACAGTAAGAACAAGAACATTAGAGACCTGTATAGAAGAATAAATTACTTTAAGAGGGGTTACCAGCCTAGCAGTAACTTAGTGAAGAATGAGAATGGTGATCTGCTTGCAGATTCCCA